GTACCAAGTTTCGTTAAGATATCTCAATTTTTACTCGAGTTATCGTGTGCACAGACGGACGGACGGACGGACGGACAGACAGTCACCGCTTAATCGATTTCTCTTTTCATTCTGATCATTTATGTATACATTTGTCTATATCTATCTCGATTCGTTTTGCCTGTTACAAACAACCGTTATGTGAACAAAGTTATAATACCCTTGTGCACAAGTGCGCTCGGGTATAAAAAGGAAAAACCATTTAATCAAAATATCAAAAAATTAAAGTAAAAAATAGAAAAAGGGTCCTACTAATTATATGAAATTAAAAAAGAAGATAATACAATCTAAAAACTGAACAATTACATTAAAGAAAGAAATTAAAAAGAACAAAAAACTTTTAAATAAAAAAAAATAAATAAAAAAATAAATAAAAATAAAATTTATTTTTTTTGATACTATAAAATCTAAAAGTGAAAAGAAAATTAAATCCAATTAAAGAAAAAAAAACTAATCTCAAAACTGAAGGAAATTAAAAAATTTATATTTTTATTTTTATTGAATAAAAATCTAAAAATTAAAAGAAAAAAAATAAAAAAAAGAAAAAAAAAACATTTCATCGTTTAAAGTACAAAACCGCGTATCAACAAAAAGCAAAACCGCGTATGTTAGGTTGCATAAATTTTTTTCTAAAGAGTAAAAATACTTATATTTCAAAATGGTTGTCTTTTTTTTATAAAGCAATCGCATTTTTGGCTAGTATATTTCAGGACGAATGGATAAGGATTGAGCCAAGAGCTTGTGTGAGCAAATCCAATTTTTGGCAGAAAATGTCAGTTAGGCGTTTTTGCAGAATGACGATACGCGGTTTTGTACTTTAAACGACGATTTAATAAGAAATAAATTAAAGGAAAAAAAATACAAAAAAAGGTATAATTAATTAAATGAAATTTCAATAAAAATATTATTCTTTTTAAAACAATAAAATCTAAAAACTGAAAAAATTGATTTATTAAAAGAAAAACCTCAAAATAAAAAAACAAAAAGAATTAAACTAAAAAAAACAAAAAGTTTCTAATAATTAAATTTAAAAAATATTTATCTTATTAAAAATTTGAATGAAAAAGCAAAAAATTTCCCAATAATAAAATGAAATAAAAAATATTTTTTATTTAACAATAAAATGTAAAAGTGAAAAGAAAATCAAATTAAAAAAGAAAAGATACAAAAGAGATTCTCAAAACTAAAGGAAATTAAAAAAATTTATATTTTTCTCTTAAAAAAAAAAATCTAAAAATAAAAAGAAAATTTAAAAAATTGCATAACTCTAAAAACTAGATACATATAGAAAAAAAACAAATTAAATAAAATTAAATTATTTAACTAATTAAAAAATTAATTAATTAATTAAAAAAGGAAACAAAATTTAAGTATAAAACGAAGAAAATAATTCCACAGCCGAAGATTCGAACCTTGGATCTCTCGTATGGCTTTGCTGACTCACCCATTGCGACAGTTGGAGCAGCTCGAGAAAAATGATATAAGACTTTCGTCTCAGAATAAACAAAATCTTTCAAATTACCTTGTCTACTGTCTGTTTTTCCATTGCCGTACAAAAGACTCACACCTACATATCTTAGCCAGAATTGACCTGTTAAAGTCATAGCGTACCCTGACCACATTGCACTCGCAGCAACTGGTAAGAAAGCCCAGACACTTTGTGAACTTTTGCAGAACGCCCCTTTGTCTCAGCTGAACAGATGAAGTTTAATGCACTAACGTCAAAGTACGATATTACCCAGATAAAATATTAAGTAACTTGTGGGTCTGTGTGTTGCGGTCTTCATTGATCTGTACGCGATTCTACAGACAACTTTTCGTTGGAAGCAACAATCGCCCGTTGTAAATGGCTTTTCTTTCAACTAATCGCTTTCAACGAAGTTGGTCGGCAGTACACTTTTGATTCAACTAACCGACTGCAAAATCGCCTCACCCTGTGAGCGCAAATGAAAATATTTAATTTTATTCTAAAATATTCAACACGTCGTGGGACAATTAAAAAAAAAACAACTGTAAATACTAATTTTAAATGACCACCACTGCATGTGCGCTCATACTAATTACTATATATAGGATTCAAGTTCAATCCCTTATCTCATTAAACTTTACCCGACATGAGATTGAATAATATATATGTAATACTTATTGCGTCAACACAGAAAATTGCTTACTCACCATGGCTAGACCCTTTTCCACCATCAGACAAATGGAGATGTGCACAAGGGAGTCTGTAAATAAATGTTGTTTACAAATAAAAATGTACATACATATGTATATGGGTTATTTTATATAGTATAAATATGTAAGTAGTGTAAGCGTGCATGCAAAATATTCACATATTCACGAATATTTGATAATTTTATGAAATTAACTTTATTAAAACTTAACAATTTTTTTTATGTTATAGTCGATATTTTAGTTTATGCATATTTAACCACTCATATTTTAAAGTTTTTTTTTGTTATTAAAACCCCTTTGATTTATTTTTCCCCCATAATTTTCAGAATTTCCCTTTTATAAAATTTATGTTTTGTACTTACATAAAATCAACAAAAGTGACGCATGCCCTTCCTGTCCTTCACTCTTGCCACTTAAAACGTAATACCAATCCAGCGGATTTATTCTAATGCCATATCTAAGCGAAAAAGTATAAATAATTTAGTTTTTATTACGGAATTTTTATATAAACCATAACTAAAAGGCTGTATAGGCAATTTTGATCATGCGAAATTTTGTCTCAAGACATTGTCATTGCCAAGAATATTTATAAGCTATGTATTTCCGTTCTTGACAAACTCTTTACTTACTTCAAAAGGTTTTCTAAACACAGTCGAAATCCCCCAATGGTGAGTAGCAGGAAACCCCAATTGACAAGACCGGTGAAATTACTAAAACCCGAACTCCATGAAAACAGTGAGTCACGCGGGCGGTGGCAACTGAAAGTAAGGAGAAAAAATAACAGAAAAGTTTGGTTAAATAGGAACGGATGGATACCCGTAAACACACCAAAGGTGTTGTATGTAGAACTTTTTATGGAAAAACTAACTAAATGTGAGAAAAATACAAAACATTTTCCAAATTAATACATAAATAAAAAAAAAGAATGAGTTTGTCCAGGCCGTAATAGTGAAGTGAAGTTTCTCTTGATTCATTACCAAATCCGTTTCATAATCCTGATTGTGGTGTGTTTCGATATACTTAACTTACCATAACATAAGATAACATATCATAACACTAGGTTGAGTGAGTTTAAATGGATCCATTCACATTACAAGAAATTAATTTTATTTGAGATTTGATTCACTGATCACTTTAGAAATTATTTGTGATTTCAGTGAGGTGAGATGAGTTGAGGTGGGGTGAGTTAAAGTTAGTTGAGGTGAGTTGAAATGAGATGAGGTGAAGTGAGGGAGAAAAATAGCGTAACATATTTTAATCTTCAGTTTCGTCTTTATCTGGGTCTCGTTATCACGATCCCTATACGTTTCTGTTTCTTTGTTTTATCTTATTCTATCACCAAAATTCATAAAAAGTAAAGAATAAATTTAACTGCTTTATGAATCGAAAATTTGTATAAAAGTGTCACTTTATAGAGCTCTTAAACCTATTTTTTTATGAATAAGGCCGTATATCTTTCTCTATATCTTCATATCTCTCCATCTCTATCTCTATCTCTATCTCTATCTCTATCTCTATCTCTATCTCTATCTCTATCTCTATCTCTATCTCTATCTCTATCTCTATCTCTATCTCTATCTCTATCTCTATCTCTATCTCTATCTCTATCTCTATCTCTATCTCTATCTCTATCTCTATCTCTATCTCTATCTCTATCTCTATCTCTATCTCTATCTCTATCTCTATCTCTATCTCTATCTCTATCTCTATCTCTATCTCTATCTCTATCTTACTTTTTTGAAATTGATTCCGAGCTGAAATCGTAAACAAACTAGGTACAGGTTCACTAACTTCACTAATTTCTTCAATTCCACTTGACTTACGGTTTATCTGGCTGTTCATTTCGTTGCCTTTGCTCTTTACTTTGTATCTCCTCGGCGCGTGTCACACTTTGCGTACGTCGATATCTCTGCTTCTTTTCACCATTGCCATTATCGTCTTTGTCTAAAACTTTGCCATATTTATTCAAATCTATGGGTACACCATTTTGATCCAGTAACGCTGAGCTGGATCCCCGTTTGCGTAATGCGCTGACATTGTAATCTGTGGCGGATGCAGAACGTCGCAGCTTTTTTATAATGCCAATGCCGCCATTTTGTTCAAGGTGCGGCATGCTGTGGCTGCTTTAGCTGGGCCGTTGGTGCGTGGACTACTAAAAGGAAAATGAGGCATTTAAAATTATTATAACGTTAATATGGGAAATTTTTTAGAATAAAAGACGAATACATATCGACGATACCTGAGTGGAAGATCGACTTATCTCGAAAACGGTCTATCTCAGAAAAGTTTTCAAGAACGATCTACTTCAGAATTTGATTGAAAAATACCCAATCTTAGCACATTTTCCATGTATTTTCAGCTGAGATAGGGCGTTTTTGAATCGAATTCGGTTATCTTTTCATAAAAATATGGTTTATGCTTTAACCAAAACTATATAAATTAAACAAAACCGCAGAAGCCGTCAGTAAGAAAAGCTAAAAAAAAAATCTAAAAATTAAGAGTGTTTTTTTTAAGCGTTGCATATTTCTTTGTGGCCCTGAATGATTTATTTGCACGAGTATGTACATGTGTATGTAAACACAAAAGTCTATGCGGTGTCGCTTTTTAATCAATATTGATCCAGCATTTTCCAAAATTAAAAGCGTAAATTGTCGATAAGATAACAAGCGGCTTTTTATACTTCACAGCTTTTATTTATATGTAAATATATTTACATATGTATGTACATACACTGGCAATCAAAAGTGAGTGCGTTATGGTTTTTTGTTTAATATTTGCAATGTATTTCAAGTCAAAATTTTTGTTTGTTATTTTGTTAATGATTTTTTTTCCGACGAATTTTGCGGTTTTACGCATGTAAAAAGTGCATTTTATAAAATATAGCGTTAATTTTTTTTAATTTTGTGTTTAAACGGTCTTGCGCATTTTATTCTACAAGAAATTCCCATTTATATGGTAAAAAGTGCAAAAAGCCATCAGCAAAAAAAAAACCGACGCCTTTTTTAGCCGCTTAAAACACCGATCTATCCGCGTACTAAAAATTTTTCAGAAATAAAAAATTATTAAAAACCAACGCATATTTTCAGCCGCTTAAAACTTGCACTTGTTTTACTAGCATTAAAAACCGATCTATGTGCTTACTAAAAATTTTTCTAAAAATTCTGATTAAGTTCAAAATTTAGATGAAAATTTGTTGAATTTTTCTAAGTGCTGTAAAAGTTTCAAAGTTTTGCTTATGTGGTTTTGATTAAGCATGAACCATATTTTTATATAAAAAAAAAAAAAAAAAAAAATTTAACTTGAAAAACATTGCAAATATTAAACAAAAAACACTCACTTTTGATTGCCAGTATACATATAATTAAACACAGTGGTTTATTTGGAGAAAGGAATGCAGAAATTAATAAAAATATACAGTTTAATCAATAAACATTCACATTCCATAAATCTCTGATAAGATTATATTTTCACTAGTGCATTATATAATATCCATCAAAATGGTATATATCTATGTACATACAAAAATACTTATTTCAGGTGCTGCATTTTTACTTTACTTGCAATATTTATTCTTACACGCAGTAGGTTAAAGATTTTTATTGATAAGAATTGATTGATTTTTTTCGCGCAATTAAAACATAATAAATTCGCAAATAATTATCATCTTTTATGTTAAGACCATAGGCATGTATATATGTAAATATGCACATATGTATGCATTTGAATACAAACAAATAAAGCGGCACATTTCAATAAACCACAATTTATTGCCTAACTAATAGCTTGCTGCACGTAAACTAAATTAATTTTGTAGTATTTATGAATGTAACCGCTGCTGCATTTAAGTATTTATTTTATTGTATCATTTCAATACGTACATACATATGTACATATCTGATTACATTTAACCGCAATATAGTTATACGAAGCACTGCTTCTTATTATCACATAACACAGTGAATTGCGGAGGAGATTCCCCGTTTGCGTCACGAATACTCTTCGTACATGCGATATGGAATACACTCTCGTACTTTCGTTTTTCGGAAAATGTGATATACTTACTCGCACCATTAACCACAATTTCAAACGTTCAAAACGTGTTTGCGGCGGTATTGTTTTTGCAAAATGGTTTGATTACTTTTCGACTTACATATGTATGTCTAGTTGTTTAATATTAAGACTTAAAAAAAAATCCTACAAATATCTTGCTGAAGCCCCAAAATTTTGTGTCACCCATATTAGTGGTATTCCATTATGTTAGGTGAGGCTATCTCGGCTGCCTTCATCCCTCAGGAAAAGGACACATTTAGGCCACCGTGGCGCCGTTGTAATGCCTAATTAGGGACTCCATATGCCCCTCCTCTTACCTTAGCAATGGCACCACTTCGCAGCTCTAATGAATCGCACAAAGTCATAGATACAGATAGTCGTCAGCGCGGGAAAGTGGCATAGGTAGTGTTCGACGCTCTCTCGATTTCCTCCTCATCACGGCAGCTACGACAGTAGTTGTTTGACTGCAAACTGATTCCAGCAGCGTGCCCAGTAGGCGGAACTGTGTGTAGTCCCGGCGCCTGAAGTCTACTGGAAGATCTTCCAAAATTATAGACACCCCTATTGCGAATGTCGACTGGCAGTAGATAAACGACTATTAAGCGATTATCGATTATCGATGCTATTGCGAGTGTCGCTTAGTCGCTCAATTAGCGACTGTGAATACTTTTTAATCGCTCATCCTTCTATTGCTGTTTTTTAGTCGTTGGAGTTTGCGTTTATAAAATTTACATAAGAAAGTGGTACTATAATGGATAAAAAGTAAGTCAATTGAACTGGAAGTTGTAAAAAATTGTGAAATATACATATGCATGTATGTGTCTGAATTACAGATCAAAAATTATAAGCAACAAAAGGCAACTTGCGCGGTTGTTCGTACTGATGCAGGAGAGTGAAGACATAGGCAAAGGAATTTCCGGAAAGAGTAGGGTAGGAAGCTCCGCTTCTATTGGAAAAGATACATATACAATATTTCTTGTGCATATAACTCCGGCTACGCCATCCACAGTGTTTTTGCGCAGAACCAACATCAAAAGTTTATACAAAAAAACTGCATAATTTATTAATTGACTAGTGCTCGGAAATTTGAAATCTTTATTTTAAATTAAAGTTGAATTCTTTCAATACACTTGTTATGTTGTTATGTTAAAGTTTTTAAACTCGGGTCACGCGTTTGGACACAAAAACCCAACATCATTGTACAAAAAACTTAACCGTACCGTATTTCTTAAACTTCCATAAAGTTTATTAATGAGGAAAACAGCTTTTCCTGCAAATCATGTAAAGCCTAAAAACCGTGAAGCATCGGGAACGCAACTTCTATTCATAAAACTCACACATGTACATACACCTTCCAAGTCCAAGGGATCCGACGAATCTCGCAATTCCCTCCTTGCTTTAGCCAACTCTACTAATCTATCAGCTTCCGCATCATCTTCCTCATCACTAAATCATACTTCAACTGTGTCCATTTTTTAAATTTTATAATAAAAAGCAATTATTTTAAAAATGATGTAAATAAAATACTCAAGAAACAAATGTAAACAAACAAACAGCTGTTTACAATTCTGTCAACCATTCACAATAGTACAAATTTTTATCGATCAAGTTACACAATAGCAAAATAAAAGATGATCGACTCGATCGACAAATTTCTATTCTACTGCCAGTCGACACTCGCAATAGGGGCCAGAGTGTCCAAACTTCGTGCCATTCCATTTGATTAGCGCATTTCCACGCCTCCAAACCATACCATGCCAAGTCACCTTAGACTTAGGCAGACTGAGCATAGTATTGTTTGGAGGCGTCGATTTAATCTAATAGCATTATAGCTTGCCTGTAGCTTACCATATAAGTCCACAGGTAGAATTTGAAGTTAGGTCTCTAATTGCTAATTTGTTTCTTATTGTAACAGCGGAGTATCCACCGTTAGATTCCAAAGGAATGGAAAGAGAACAAAGCCTTTTGGAGTGTCGCGACTAGCATATTATGTTATGGATACCTCCCCCATCTCCGAATATATAGCTCTACAGCCTAAGAGGCGATGAACAAACTCGAGCAGAGGGTGATCCAGCCCAAGGCGAGTTAGGGCTTGGAGAACAGCCCTCGGGAGAATATTTTTGAAGGCACCCTCGATATCTAGGAACACGCCTAGTGCGCTGAAAATGTTATGCAAAGTTGTATCCACAGCTCTGCCTTTCTAATAGACGCGTTGACAGCGAGAGAGCTTATTTACATCAATCTCTTGCCGGATCTGCGAGTCTAAAAGTCTTTCCAGAACCTGGAAAAAAGAAAGAAATAAGGCTTCTCGGTCGAAAGTCGCTTGGCTTCACGTGGGAGGGTCTACCTGCCTTGGGTATGAACACAACTTTCGCCAGGGTCCAAACCTAAGGTGTGAAGCAAAGTTTAAGACCAACGTGGGGAGTGTTGCTGGAGTGTCGGTCCTTGGCCAGATATAAATCTGGGGCGTTCCGGTTACGTAGACCCGACTGTCGTGGTTGTGGTTTTTCTCTATAGAATCTTTATGTTCGATCCAACCATTTTAAAGTTGATTAGCTTGAATCACGTAGGCTATATTTTATAACCGTGAAACATTTTTGAAAATCGATATTCCTCGACCGTATCGATTTGATTACCGACGTCACAGTACCAATATCGTACTTACATATATCGCTTTGCGGTATGGTATCATTCTCAAGTAGTCGTTAAATATAAGTTTCAATTTTAACACATTGTTGTCAAACAAATAAATGATAAATAAACAAATGGGTATGCATAGTATGTACATACAAACTTTATTACCACGGCATATTACCTCGCTTCTTACGCTTATCTTTGTGTAAACTCAAACAATGCTCGCAATAAAGTTACAAGTGGATTTATTTTTGTAAATTGCAGTACAATGAACTCTCCATAAGTGCATACAGTCATGTGAAAAAGAAAAGGGACACGACATTTTGACCAGTTTTGGCTATTTTTTCTTTTGTTAGTTTAATTTTTATTATAGGCCCCTATTGCGAGTGTCGACTGGCAGTAGAATAGAAATTTGTCGATCGAGTCGATCATCTTTTATTTTGCTATTGTGTAACTTGATCGATAAAA